AAACAACTCCTAAATAAATGCAGATGAAATCATACAAATATTGGAGGGCAGGTCCTCTTTTCTCTTCTGCAATATGAAGACATTCAAAAGACTACAGATTACTTTCATTTTGTATAGTTCCTCAGCAGTGTTTTCAAACACACCAATTTTAATATGAAGAGAGCATTGCTAAAGCTAGTAGAGCTATGCTCAGGGGTACGCTTCATGGACAGGGGTGCTGTGCTTCTTTGCATTTCACTTATCCCCTGCTTTTTCTTTCCTGCCTTAATTTTGCAAGCAATACTGAAATACTCAGGACTCCTCCTGCCCTCAAATGGGGTGGAAGGAGTAAAGGGTTGTATCATTCTATGTACTTGTGCCAATGACAGACAAAGCCAGTGTCTTGAGTTGGTTGCTGGCAAATTGCACTGATAGAGCTGCAGAATAAGGGAGACATTTTAAACACAAGGATTTCTTTGAGGAGAATGGGCATTTTCAATTTGCTGACATGGATAGTGTCCATTTAGTTTTTACTACACATTCGAATACATTGAATTAGAGTCAGTAAACTAAAAAATCTGTCTTGCATCTGTTTTGATCCAGCTCCACAAGCTAATCGACCATATCGACTGAAGGGAAAATGCAGAGAGAGTCTTAGGGCAAATTTCCATTTCCCTGCTCACTGTCACTCTGTGCCACATAGAGGCAAGTTTGTGCAGCCCAAAAGTTGTTCAATGTTCAGCAGCTTTTCAGGACTGTGAAGATGGTGTTAGGTTTGCTCTGATTTTCAAAGCTCTGCAGACCTGTCAGCAGTTGGGAGGCAGCTAACCGTAACTGCAAACAGAACAGTTGCGTGCAGATGAGAAGGTTCAGCTGCAGCTGTGGAGGTTCATGAAGCTGCATACCCTTTGCCTTAGCCTGCTCTGTGAGGAGGGATAAGGGCTGTTACGGGGGCTCTGTGCACCCATAAATCCCTTTACATGTCAGGAATTCCTCCTGTGGTTGCCTATATTGATTTTTAGATCATATACCCCCAGATCAGGCTTGAAATAAACCTAAGTGTTTTTAAAAATCTTGGTATGTTTTGCTTAGGGCTTCTTTATTAATTGCTGAGAGATTTACCGTAGCTTTGGATCAGGCAGTGAGAATTTGAATTCATTTTACAGCTTTCCTGCTCAGTGGAGTGTGATGCTATTATTTCTGCATTGTGTTATTCTCAGAGAAGATTGCAGGTCTTTTTATGCCGGAGAAGCACAGAGCATCACAGGTGATGTTAGGACTGCACATTTGGCTTGCATTTTAGGGCTGGCAAGAGAAGGATTACACCATCTGGTCTTGAGAAGTGCTTAGCATCTCCAGCAAGACATTGGATAAACTCCATTGAAGGTCACTGGAGAATTGATGCTGCTGAACATCACAACAGAATTGCCCGTTGCATGTCATCCAGTGTGCGTACAATACGAACATTATCTGTGGTCTTATCTAGACTGTGGAAACTTCTCAACTTGCCAGAACACACATGCAGCCCCATGTGTGCTGGCTACAGTGAATGCTAGAATAGTCAGGTCAAACCCAGTTTTACCTCCTAGTCTTTCAGAGTTAAGCAGAGATTATACAATATAATGATATATGCCCCAGTTGCTGGTCTTATTATCCCAAGTGCTGTTGAAATATTTCATTAGTACTTGAGCAGTTTAGCAAACTCCTCATTGTAGAAACAGTATTATATGTATTTTTTTGCTTCTTTTCTCCTGCAGATGGGTAACTTGGTTCAAGGTTATTAAAACTGTAATACTGTCTGGTAAGCATTACTCATCAGAGAGTTTCTGACTTTACCTTTGTCTTTTTTTAACTCATAACCATTAGAGTGATCTGTATATGGTTTTTTAAATTATATTGAAGAAAAATTATCTGAGCCCCCAAATTATCCTTCACAACAAACTCTCAAAACCAATTCTAGAATATGATGGGCAGATTTTTTTGCTACAATTGAGACAACAGCAGAGGTGGCTTTTAGTGGCACTACAGTCTGCTTTGTGGTACACTGTTGCATGGGAAAAGGATCAACGAGTGGTGAATTATATTAAAAGATGATCTAACACAAAGGTTTTTTAACAAACAGTTTTTGTACATGAAGGTGGCTGAATCACTCACTCGCCCTGTCTAACATTTGTTAGTATGTCAAAACAAGCAACGTGCAGACAGTTTTAACAGTATCCAGTTGCAAGGATAATATGAAGATTCACTTGCAGGAATCTGGGTTGCTATTTTTGGTTTTGCCATATGTTTATTTGAACTTATTTTTCCTTTTTCCATTTTGCTTTGATGAATTTGTTTTCATTAGCAGCAATAAAACGTTTAATGTTGAAAACTGGATTGGAAGAGTAGACTAGTACAAGGCTTGAGAGAAGAGAGTAGCCACTGTAAATTGTGAAATGTACCTCTAAAAAAACTCTCAAAAATTTATTATTTATAGCAGGATATACGGCTTGATATGTGACATTCTTTGTTCAGTATTATTGCCTCAGTGCCCTAACATGCTATGATTTTGCAGATGTCATCTGTTAACTGAGATGTGCAAGTGAGATCTTAGCCTCTAGTGATCAGAAATTGTCTCATGGTGTTTTTCATAAGAAGAGAGATCATACCGATTCCAGCTAGGCCTAATCCACTTACCCAAATCATCGTGCTAATTGAATTGTCCATGTTCTTTGTTGCTTTCTGCTATAAAGTTTTGTTGCTAAACACCATCATTTCATTGGTGAATAATACAAGCTCTGTGCATGGTTTGTTGTAATTCAAGCAGAGCAGAAGGGAAAGTAGTGCCTAGTCATTACATTACAACTATTTTCTTTTTGTCACGGGAAACTTTTTCATATAACTCTTATCTTCTGAAAAGTTGCAGGGTGCACAAGAAGTTGCAGCTCAGCATTTCAGAACCTCATTATATATGGAGAGATGCTGAGCTCGGCAGGGTGAATAGAAGGCATTTAGGTAATCAAGCAGAAATATAGTTTAACTATCCCTTAGTTATTTTATCCGTGGGTGGTATCAGCAAGAATCTGGTGCAAGGAGAAGTTTGCAGTGCTAACTGATTTGAAAAGGATTTTTTCAAAGTGAAAATACATAGCGGTGTAATTAATGGTAATACAGAGGAGGAAGCTGCTCCTCTGAAAGTTTAACGTTTTATAAATTTGCCAATTCAAAAAGAAAAACAACAAAAACCCTCCACATGTATATACACCATTTCTGCAATTCGATAACTGATGGGTGACCCTGGAAAAAATAATTGTGTTTGCAGACTGGATTCCAAAGTTGTTGGCTTTATATTTAAAGGGAAAAGTGAGTTAAATTAACTAATTCTTAGGTCTTTTCTGAATTCCATTAGAAGCCTGTGATTCACAGCTATCCAGCTATCACAGCTAATGATCTTTGATTGGTTTTATTGTTTTGTCTACTAAGAGCATTCAGAGTTTCTGCGAGAGGCATAAAAATTTTAATTCTGGTTCTCAGTGGACCCATCTGTGAATTTTAGTTCTGATTCTGAATCTGAAGTAGTTTTTCTTAATTCTTGCATAACTCTATAGTAAATTTGAGCAAAAAACCTCATGAGAAATCATCTCTTGTAGTTGCTCAGATTTATATGCGAGTCATTTCTATGTCGTTTGAGTGTGATCAGTCCACAAGCTTAGTATTTGTTATGGGCATGATCTGCAGAAGAAAGAGAACAATTGGTACCAGCAGGTGAACAGTGCACAGAATTGTTATGTACAACATACTTGCCCACTGTACTCTGTTCCTTGAGGATTATGAACATATTTTAATTCCTACTGTGTGGAACTGGATGGCTTTTAGATTTAGCTGGATTCTCCCCTGGCTAGTGCAGGGAAATGCACGTTTCTCAGCAGCACAAAGGATCCTTCTACCAGAGAATAATCAACAGAGGGAGATGGTCTTGGTTGTATCACTGCCCTGCCTCAGGGCCTACATTTTACCTGGGGAAGATAAAAACTGGGAACAGCTGCAAGTGGGATGTTATGTACTAATATATTCTTTCACTCGCTTTCCTCTCTCCTGCTGTTTTCTTGATGATCTGTATTGAGTGTTGACAGTGGGATGGTTGCAGTTGTTTTCCACTGCTACCACTTGCCCACTAAAGAAATTTCTACTGTCAGCAGTTATGAGATTTTTGCTGGATGTGCTAGTAGATTTCGATCCCAGTGCATCCTGCTCTAAAAGCAGGAGTTTCTTTTCTACTCTGGCTACATAGCAGATGAGAAGACAGCAAAGAAGCTTGCTCGTAAGGTGGTGCATACATGTGTTTGTGTGGTGCTGTTCTTAAGCTAATATGCTTTATTTCTCGCTAGGACTTTGTAGTCTAAGCAGTTTTAAAATGTATTTACTTGAATATGTTCTGAAAACAGGACAAACCTAGCGACCAGATCTATGTGTGAGTTTGTCTGCCCAGTTTGTCTACAGTGTACACCTACAGAGCTGTGATGGCAATACACTGCAAGCTCGAAGCCTGTGGGTGGGACACAGAGAAAGGTGTGCTTGCAGGTATACACTCAAGTCATCTGATGGGATCTCAGTGACACTGTTTCATGTAGCTTGCCTACCACAAAGGTGAAGGCTACATGTCTGGCTAGACACATCTTTAAGTGCCTTGGGCCCATTAGGATTAATATCAAATGGGCAAGCTGGGTTTCACTGCTTACCTCTGCTTTCCCATCTGTAAGTTACCACTTGAGATACCTGCTTTTCTACCTCTTGCATGTGTTAAACATTCATTATGCGCTACTCTTAAAAAGCGTTGAATAAAAAGGTAACCAGTACTTTACTTGTATAACATTGCTGTGTCATTTTTGGGCAGCTGTGTCTCCCCTCTGTATTTGGTATCTCAAAGATTACAAGAAATTAATTCCTTTATCGTTGCATTTGACTTGCTGTGTTTTAAAAGAGTGACTGAATTGTATACCTCTTTCGTGAACCATTCAGTGCATCTCATTTTGTTGTTGCAGCAATCATTGAAAAGAAGAGGGAGCAAAGACCTACCAAAATCAGAAAAAAAATCACAGCAGACACCAACAGAGGTATGTTGGAATAACTGTAGCCTGGATTCCCATGTGGAAGCTTCAGGGACACTGTGGATATGATGTACATGGTTTGTGGATTTACACTTTGCTTGCTTGTTTGCTTTGCTCTTTGTTTTCTTATATGCTGCAAAAGGGAGAGCTCTTACCCCAGATCTGTAGCCGGGCAACACAATGTCAAGGACCACCTAAACAAACCGCTACAACAGAACCCACCAGCATTCATGTACTCTATGTTTTAGGCAAAATAAGTAAATGGGAGCACCAGTGAAACAAGATTGTAGGCCCTTTGTGTGCTGACTTCAGGATTTTTTAACACTGTAAAGTCTATTACAGTGTTGCAAGCCTAGAAAATATAAGGATTTTTTACAAGCCCCACCCCCACCATGTATTTTCTGGGGACTGTGCAAACGTTAGTCGCAAGTAAAATAGTCTTTTCCCCTCTTTTAAATTTAAGTATTTATTTCTCTCTCTTGAATTTATTGATCAGTGAAAAAAAGATTGCAGGAAAATCTCTTAGTATCTAAAGCTATGTACCTGTGGTTGTTAATCTTGTAATTCAAGACCATCCACTGGAGGTCTCTTGTTCTACATCAAGTTTCTTCAAATACTTTTCTTTTTTTCTAAGGAGGACAATGAAGACCTGAAATGCCAGCTACAGTTTGTCAAAGAAGAGGCAGCCTTGATGAGGAAGAAAATGGCCAAGATTGATAAAGAGAAAGACAGATTTGAACATGAGCTGCAAAAATATAGGTCGTTTTATGGGGATTTGGACAGTCCCTTGCCAAAAGGTGAAGCAGGTGGGCCACCTACCACAAGAGAAGCTGAACTCAAGCTTCGATTGAGACTTGTGGAGGAGGAAGCTAACATTCTTGGGCGGAAAATAGTGGAACTAGAAGTAGAAAATAGAGGACTGAAAGCAGAACTTGATGATTTAAGAGGAGATGATTTCTCAGGGACCACTAACCCACTTCTGGGAGAGCAGAGTGAATCCCTGTCAGAATTACGACAGCATTTGCAGCTAGTAGAAGATGAAACAGAATTGCTGAGGAGAAATTTAGCTGATTTGGAAGAACAAAACAAGCGCATAACAGCTGAGCTGAACAAATACAAGTACAAGTCTGGGGCCCACGAGAGCTCTAGGCACCATGATAATGCCAAGACAGAAGCATTACAGGAGGAGCTAAAAGCTGCACGAATGCAGATCAACGAGCTGAGTGGCAAAGTCATGCAACTCCAGTATGAGAACAGAGTCTTAATGTCCAACATGCAACGCTATGACTTGGCCTCTCATCTTGGGATCCGTGGCAGTCCCAGAGACAGTGATGCAGAAAGTGATGCGGGAAAAAAAGAGAGCGATGATGACTCCCGCCCCCCTCACCGCAAAAGAGAAGGCCCCATCGGTGGGGAAAGTGACTCTGAAGAGGTACGCAACATCAGGTGCCTGACACCCACGAGGTCTTTCTATCCGACACCATCCGGGTGGCAGAAGAGCTTCACTGACAGGCAGCAGATGAAGGACATTCGCTCTGAAGCTGAGCGGCTGGGCAAGACAATAGATCGCTTAATTTCTGACACAAGCACCATCATAACAGAGGCGAGAATTTATGTAGCTAATGGGGACCTCTTTGGACTGATGGACGAGGAAGACGATGGCAGCAGAATACGCGAGCATGAGCTTCTGTACCGGATCAATGCACAGATGAAGGCCTTCAGGAAAGAGCTCCAGGCTTTCATTGACAGACTTGAAGTTCCAAAGTCTTCGGATGATCGAAGTGCAGATGAACCTTTGTCAGTGAGTCAGGTAGACTTTTACTTATTACAGCCTACAGGTAAAAAGGCTCTGCCAAATGACTTAAGCCTCAAATTTGATGTATGGCACATCATTAAAATTTTTTGTTCTAGACAGTGGACAAAAATCTCTATTTCTTAAATTATTTTAAATTGGCCATATGAGACCTTGTTATACCAATGGGGCTGTTTGTGAACAGTGAATAAGTCTGGTCTCCTGGAAATTAAAAGAACTATGCTCTAGGAGGTGGAAGATTTTACTCCTTTCTGGCTTTGCAACTGCATTTGCCAGAGTTGTGCCTTCATTGCCAGTAAAGGCAGTGCAGACAGCATTTTTGGCACATAAATGACATTATTTTCTTAGTGGTTGCATTGCTGTTAAATGAATAAAAAGAAAATCTTATTAATTTTAAAAAGGAGGAAACATTAAATTTCCAAAATTATAGACAATGTGACAAATCACAGAGAAAAATACACCATGCAAATCTACTTTACAGAGTCACAGAGCCACACTGTAGTGTGAACGTTAGAACTGTTGTAACTGATTGTATCTTGTTGAAGGCCTACGGGTCACTGCTTACATGCAGCAGTGGCTAGCATTTCTTCTTTGTAGTTCATTTTTACGCAGAATTGTTCCAGAGAGGTTTTGGGGAGCAAATTCCTTGCTCACTCAAGATCTTTTGCCATGAAAAATGAAAATTACTTACCCTTATCTTATCATGCAATCCTATAGTTGGCAAATCTTGTTATTGCTCATGGTATTATCCAATGTTTTAATAAGTCTCTTGCTGTGCTAATTTACTTTGTGCTGTCCTGCTAGTTTACAGTCAAAGTAGTTGCCAGGTGAAGCTGAAAGCTATTATTTCTTATTCCTATGCTGACTAATTAGTCTTTTGTTTCCTTGTATCAGAAAGTCACAGACGCAGTGAGTTTAAAGCTAATCAATTACTATTCACGTATTGCATGAAATCAAACAGAAAAGGCATTTAGCATGCTCACGTTCTGATGTAGCAATAGCTCTGAGCTTGTAGAGCTCCCATTAGCTTAAGGGCAGAGCACTGCATGGGCTTCTGCAAATTTAAAGCAAACTAATTAGTATTTTCTCTAAAAAAATAACAGCAATAGTTAAATTGAACATTTCAGGGCTTGACCATGCAGAACTCCTACTGAAGTCAATGGGAGATGGGCACTCAGTCCCTCCACAAGCATACTCTGATTCACTATTTATTTTGTTGAAACTTTGGACTTGCTGTTCCATTAATTGACTGTTCTCTTTGTCTTTGTATTTACTTTCCCAGATGTTCCAGCCTATCATTTTACTTATTCTCATCCTTGTATTATTTTCATCCCTTTCATACACAACAATATTTAAACTTGTCTTCCTTTTTACACTGTTTTTTGTACTGTAAGCCATTCATCATTTACTGTTCATTGTAGTATTATTTTCAGTTTATTTTGTCCACCCTCCAAGATAAGAAGTGCAAGAGACATAGTTTCTGTAATAGCCACTGCTGTAAAAACACTGAAGACTACTTGTTTGCCAGAACCAAAACAAAACCAAAAAAACCTGCAAAATATACCAAAAAGTCACCCAGCTGAATAGGAAACCCACTTACCACGGTGTTCCAGGTAAGCAAACACAAAATGATATTTTTCACTTCATCTGGTTTTATCATTTTTGAATAAAAATTTCCTGAGTGACTGGAACCAATTTAATATTCATTAATTTGCACCAAATCAGAAGCAAAACAGGAATATGCAGAGTGGGTGTGAGGAGTCTGTTCCTTTCCTCTTCCCACTCCCAGAAAAAGAATTTGTATTCCAGCCACATATGAAGAGTAAAGCCACATTCAATGTGTGTTCTGCAATTGCATGTCACAGCTTGTATATATTTTGCATGATTGTGATGGTAATGTTTTTCAGCGCTGTATTATGTGGACTAGACACCGTGGAGGGGACAAAATCAGAACGGTTGGCATATAGAGCATGATATCCGCAAATGGGGCAAGGAGCTGGAGACCCTGAGAATGAGATGCAGGAGGAGGAGGAGGTATCAGGGTAGGCGAGGAGTCTTCTGAGAGATGTAGGCTGGCTGCATTCTCTCTGTGCTCTAGAAAAATGGCCGCGCTACAGTCTGACTTGAACCGAAGAGAGCGACGCTAGTCACCTTGTCTGATGTCAGATATCTTTACTTAACAAACTAGTTTATCAGATAACATTTTCCAGTCTGTAGCCACCAGGGCCCTGGATTTTCTCTCCAGGTTTCAGAATGAGTTTCAAATGAACATGGTAACTCTTGGCTTGCTCAGTGACCCGCGTCTAACCATGCCATTGGTAGTGAGCGACCATAGGTGAGGGAAGCTTGTGTACATAGGTGTGCATCAATAGGCACTGAATATTCCTGGCCTGCCTACAAGATGCTGCACTGAGAGTGCAGGCAACTCTTGATCTTTCTATCACACTAAACATAGGCAGTTCCTACAAACACTAGATCTCTCACTGTGAAAACCTCACCTGAAATGCCCCATGGAGGTCAGTTTTCTGTTCTATTTGACTTATGTTGAAACCAGCAGGTCCCACAAATGTGAATTCTCTGAAGATGATAATATACAAGTAAGTGTATTATTTTTTTTTTGTGTGTGTGCAGATGCCGTGGTAAATAACCTAGTAATAAATAGTGATAATAAATAAAGCAGCTGTTTTTCTAGCTCGCAATAAGGATTCCCTTTGATTTATCATGCTAGCACTTTGTTCACTTAACCCATTCCCTAGTGAGAACAGTTTGTCTCCGTGCTTGGGTTGTGCTCTGCTACCTGAAACAGTAGAGACACCGTACTGAGAGAAACCCCTTGGAGGGAAGCAGAGGTTGAGCAATAGAATTTATTTTATGAAAACAAAAAAAAATAGTAAACTCACAATATTCAGTATTAAACAAAGCTTGTGTTTTTCTCCTTGTTTGTCTAGCTTTCCCTCAGCATACTCTGCAGGTGTGGTAACCTTGATCAGTTAAATCACTTAACCTTGATTTAATCCTTATCCCTACTAGGGGATGTTGACATCTTTATTTATTTTGTAGTTGGCAAGATATGTCTAAAGGAAACGATAACCAATATATATGAGATTAATAGATAGCCTTGCCTGGTGTCCTGATTAAAGAGAAAGTCAAGCCCAAAGTAATTTTGAGCAGTTTGTAAGATGCTCAAATTTATGCTCAATTACCTAAAAGTTAAGTAAGTTCCACATATTAGAAACTATTGTGGCAAGATATGGTCAAGCTTATCATCCCTTCACAATGAATGTCTGTAACTGTAAAGATAGTTCTCCAGTCACTGGGAAAAGGCCCTTTTATTGCTTTTCTATTAACTGCTGTAAGAAATTTTTCAGCAACTGCTTGAGAATTGTTTTCCCCATGGATTTGCAATTTGGACATTAAAAGAATAATAATTTGGAGCTTATACTTGTCATATCAAACCTTAGCACACAACTGACTTTTTGAGTTTCTTTCTGGTTTAGTGTCTCCCTTGGGGGAAGAAAAGACCATTTAGGTTTTCTTAAATGTTACTGGGTCAATCTCATACAAGAGAAAAAAATCATATTAATCCGATCTGAAGTTCCGGGCTTTCAGATTTTAACCCAAACTTGTTTATACCTTTCTCAGCCTTGTATGTAATAAAGATGAGTAGAGAGGTTTTGATTTACACCAAGTGTGTCAGTAACAGTACTACTGTAAAGTAGTAGGAAAGTTTAGTACACTGAATTCATACATTGAATACATCTTGGAAGTAATTGGAAAAGATTTGATTCTTTCTCAGAAATCAGAAAAAGTGAGGATAAACCTCTTGAGACAAAAGGTGGAGATAACCTCTGTACAGGACTGGCAATTATAACCCCATTGATTTCTCACAGTGGTTTTTCTTGCATATAGCTGGATCTGTCCTCATACTAATTCTGTCAGGCATCAAGAAAGCAAATCAAAGCCAAGACCTTTTGGGACATTTAGGGAGCTAATGCACAGGTTACAATCTGAAATTAAAGCATACTGAAGCATCAAAAAATCATTTTAGAAGCTCCTGACAGCCTTTGAATCTGTGATGAGCAAGAAGAGTGGTGAGGACCCCTGCAAACCTCAGTACAGAGAAATCTCAGTGAGAAATGAGATGTGTTTTTCATGTCCTTCTGCATTCAGCTTCAAGGGAGTGATTGGAGCTGCTTACCTGCTTTGCACCAGATATTGCAGAGAAGTTCACAGCCCTCCATTTTTTCACTATTTTAAAAGCTGCTGAGAAAGCTAGTAAAATCAGTATGGATATCTATCTGTAGCCAGAAGATAACATCTAGCCAAAAATATAAGTGTTCAGAGTCTTGCTAAATTGAAATTACTTGACCTCACAAAGAAATGCAATAATCATACTTGTCAAAAAAAAAAAAAAGAAGCAGATTCTCCCCACTCAGTTACTGGGCTGGTGGGCAAACTCCACCTCACTGGTGAGGGAGTAAATGCAGCTGAACACATCCACATTCTCTAGCAGGAGTGCATAAGAATCAGGCAGGGCAGAGCCAGACAGAACGCTGCTGATTCTCTAGATTCTGTGTGCCACATGGCTTCTAATTCTGAAGAGCGATAATAAGAAGAATATAAGATTTTGGTTTTATGTGCCGACAAGCTGGATATGCCAGGTTACCTATCAGTTCAAATCTCAGTTATACTGATAGCAGACTCACAGTTCCCATTTTGGAATATTCTGGCAAAATATTAATATTCTGACAAAAATGTAATTGAATTTGAACACTGAAATTGCCTTAATTTTACATTTCTCTGAAAGATTAAAATTGTGTTTCCTGTGTTCCCAGGGAATTCATTCCATGTTCTTTCAGAAAGAAGAGATCTTGCATCTATAGACCTGATTCTGACATTTTTACACTTGTGTAAATCAGCAGCGACTCCAATGAATTTTTATGTCATTTAGAAAATAGATGCATTTTTCCTTTAATGCAATCAGTTAAATTCAATTAAATTTGTTTCGTATTTAGAGTCACTCTGAATGCCCTGACAAAATACCTCTACAAATATTTCTTTACTGTTACTGAAAACATTCCCATGATACTAGAATGATCATCTTCTCCAGAATCAGACATATTTCTTTCAACCAAAAGTATCCATGCCTGAAGCTGCAGTTAGAGATAGAATAAGTGTCTGCTGACACATGTCACCAGTGCTTCAGAATCAAAACTAGAAGACAGCAGGTGCTATAGTGCAGAAATATGCCTGGCAGTCGGAAAATAGAAAATTGCCAAAACCATGGCTGTCTAAACATGTGTTATAAAAAGAGATGAACTGCACATGAACTTTGGGAGTTGTTTACAAAAACAAGAAGAGCTTTAGGATATTAGATGCCCTTCCCCTTAATCACCCCAGAATCTGATAGGTGAGTAGGAGACTTCTAAAGGCATCAGTATCAGAGACATAATTCCCATTGGCTTGCATTTCTGTCTCTGATTTAATGCCAGGGGAAGTGATATTCTAAACCCAGCTTTTGCCATTACACATGCAGTTGCCTATGGGGAAAATTACAGTGGCTCTATTTAAAGTAAACATCTAAAGTATCTGCTACCGATTTCCAATGTAACCTTGGAGAAGTGACATGACATAACACTTTGTTGGCTCTATTTCTGCACTAAGTTATATACTACTGCAGAAGTGCACAATAGTAAGAGGAGACAGAATTTGTATTCCCTTCTGCCCATTTCCCCATTTATATACACTCCTGAGATGTATTTGCCAGGATTATTGAGGTGTAAAAAGTAACATCATTCAGGAATCTGATGTTGTGGTTGGGTTGATTACAATGGCAGCAGGGCTGTTCTTCTTTCTTGTTACCAAATTGACGTGGACACAGCAAAATGGGTGTGCTATAACCAAACTAAGTACAGCAGAACTGAAGATGCTCTGAAATGATCTGGAGTGCAGACAATTAACCAGAATACACACTACCCTGAGCGTGTAATTGGATTATAGCTCATGCTGAAACTCATGCTCCTTTGTCTTCAGTCTTGCATGATGAAGAGAATTTTAGCAGAGGCCTTGTTTAAAATGCCCTTGCACCTTTTTTTGTTGAGTTGCTGACTTTTAACACAAGCAGAGCTGATACCAGGTATGGACAAAGTACGCTTTGCCTGTGGAAGCAGTGTGTTGGACATAATAAACCTACAGTAGCCTTCCTGCTTATTTTACCTGTGCCAGAGGCCAGAAAGCCATATTTGCTGCTTTGTCTGCTGCTGTTGGGGGAGGGACAGTCTCTGCTGGATAACCTTTTTTCCTCCAAAGCAAAAATCACTACTGCTACACTTAAGGGTATCAGGAACAACGAGCCCAGATTTTTAGAGCTTTCTTTGTGGGTTTTTTTTGTCCCAGCTTTGCTCTGCCTTTCCCATATTAGGATGAGTTTAACCTGGGCCTTTGACCTATGAATGGGATCCAGCTCTTGTCTCCTAATGAGCCCCTCAGTCTCACACATTTCTAATCCCTCACACTGACAGAAAGGTAGGATTTTGCCTGAATGAAAA